TAAGAGCGTATGGCCCAAATATGTTTGGACACCTTAACTATTTAACCATTGATTTACTAAAGAACCCTTAAAGAACCATCTTTTAAAAAATACATATGACCCAAAAGTATTTGGGCACTTGAACTATTTAACCATTGATTTACTAAAGAACCGTTAAACAACCTTTTCAAGAGCGTATGGCCCAAATGTGTTTGGACACTAACTATTTAAACATTGATTTGCTAAAGAACTCTTGAAGAACCATCTTTTTAAAGATACAAATGGCCCAAAAGTATCTGGACACTTTACCATTTAACAATTGATTTACTAAAGAACCCTTAAACAACCTTTTTAAGAGCGTATGGCCCAAATGTGTTCAGACACTTTAACTATTTAACCATTGATTTACTAAAGAACCATCTTTTTAAAGATATATATAGCCCAAAAGTATTTGGACACTTTACCATTTAGCCATTGATTTACTAAAGAACCCTTAAACAACCTTTTTAAGAGCGTATGGCCCAAATGTTTTTGGACACTCTAACCATTTAACCATTGATTTACTAAAGAACCCCTGAAGAACCATCTTTTTAAAAGTACATATGACCCAAATGTATTTGGACACTTTACCATTTAGCCGTTGATTTACTAAAGAACCCTTAAACAACCTTTTTAAGAGCGTATGGCCCAAATGTGTTTGGGCACTTTAACTATTTAACCATTGATTTACTAAAGAACCATCTTTTTAAAGATATACATGGCCCAAAAGTATTTGGACACTTCAACTATTTAACCACTGGTACACTTATTTAGATTACTATAGATTAAACGTGTAACCAAGTGAAATTTGTTTCAGAGGACTTTTACAAAGACTAAAGGGTTTCTATAAACAGTGACAGTTGAAGTTCAAAACCCCCTAAAACATCATGATGCAACCTGGTCGTCAGGTCAGAACACTCAGGTTTGGTCGTTGGACGCATGCGCGCTGAGCGAAAGGGGTTTTCCTGCACACCTTCTCTCTCTCTCTCTCTCTCTCTCTCTTTCTCTCTCTCTCTCTCTGGACGTCAAGGTGACGGTGGACGCGCAGCTCCTCTGTGGAGCGGTTATCTCACACTAACATCACCTTCGGCTGTGTAACGTCGTTTAACGCACAGATTCACTCCAATGGTCGGGGGAGGACATAGATGAGTGCTCGCTTAAGACGAACCGTGGCCTCTGAATCAGAATCATTAAGGGCTTTGTTATCGAGCGCGTGTTTTTAACGTCTGCGGCTCTCGGTGCAGATCTGAGATGCAAATGTTTCCTGTTAGTCACATTCACTCAGTTCTGTCAGTATGTTTCCCTGTCATTTCACACAGTGTATGTCTATCTAAGAAGCGTATTTGGGGGGAAAAGGAGTCATTTTTCCCCCCGTTCCAATTCAGTCCTTCACCTTGAGTCTGTAGCTCTGTTTCTTTGTGCTGTATTTCATTCTGCTCAGCAGGTGTCTGATCTGCTGTTGCTCAAACCCTCTCACTTTATAGACTGAGTATGTTATTCTAGATCAAAGGGGTCCTGAAAAAGAGAAGCAAAGTTCCCAGCAAACTACGGATTCTGAGTGAAGTTAGTTCCACTGCAGTTCTACAAGGAACCCGGAAGGCCTGGCTGAGCTGAAGAGAAACTTTTTAAACCTAATACTTTTTTTGTGCTTCAGCGTTGCAAGCAAAAACCTTGTATCTCCAAAATGGTAACTTTACAGGAGAAGGAGAAAACACACTGTACTTTTAATGTAAGTCAATGGAACCAGACTTCAAAAACGAAGATATATACATTTAGATCCCATCAGGAAACCATGATGTGCAGTGACCTGAAACGCCTGTTATATTATTAGGAGGATGTTTCTATTTATTTATTTGTTTGCTTATTTTTTTCAGCAGGGTATCCACACACACACACACACACACACACACACACACACATATATATATATATAAAGAAATAAAGGTACTAAACTGGGGTCATTGGGGCAGTGCCTCTCTTGTCACTGGGGTGGTTCCCTCAAGGGCACATCTCAGTAGCTTTAGTCAGGTGGGTAGTCAGCTTTAGTCAGGTGGTATATATATATATATATATATATATAGATAGATAGATAGATAGATAGATAGAAAGAGAGAGAGAGAGAGAGAGAGAGAGAGAGAGAGAGAGAGAGAATTTAGTTGAAAAGTTTACCAATTCCAAACCCCTGTCCAAATACTTTGTTTTGTTTTGGTGCCACTATATAAATGGAATAAAGTGTTATATAAGTGTTATATAAGTGTATATATATATATATATATATATATATATATATATATATATATATACACACACACACACACCAACAGTAGTCGGGCTGCTGCTGCAGGAGAAAAAACGACAAATGTTTTGTCATCAATGCCACTTTTGGTTTGACCTTCTGTTTCCACTGATCTTAATGTGTATTTAAATGTGGCACAAACGTCTCCAAACCCTTTCTGGGCTCCACTGCGTTCAACATCTCTGTCAGCGGACCAGCAGCTCCTGCGTCTCGTGTGTAAGGAAAAGAAAGTTGTGAAGAGGCGCTGCGTTAACAGCACCTGCTTCGGCGGCAATGAATGGTAAGCGACTAGTCACTCCGAGTGGATCATCGCGCACGCGCGCGCACAAAACAACTTTACAGTGCGGTTTTCAGCAGAATGATCTTGCGTATTGAATCCGGGGGGCTATGAAAGAGTGTACGAGTTTGGTTTTGTTTTGTTGTGTTTTGTTCAGCTATGTGTGAGTGAAGTCTCCAAAGGCGCACGGAGGTGCTTGAATGGGCGCGCGGGCGCCCGCATGCCATATTAATTATTGACTGGAACCGTCCAAACAGAGGGATGAGGAGGCCTGTGCCTGGAAGATGGCGGAAGAAAGGCCGGCTTTAGAAAGCACTAATTGGGCTGTGGGAGCTGAGCAGAGCGCGGTGGATTGGTTTCAGAGAGGGGGGAGGGCGCCGGGAGAAGCTCAATAGAACCCACGCTTCTTTTCTAAACTCCCTTGCTGGGCTTAAAAAAAAAGAGGAGGAGAGAAAAGAGAGAGAGAGAGAGAGAGAGAGAGAGAGAGAGAGAGAGAGAGAGAGAGAGAAAAGAAAGTTGGAGGGGCCTTTGGGGGGAGAAGAGGAGCAGGGAGGGGGGCTTTGAATACTGCGCTGGTTTTGAATGCCACAGCCGAGTAAGAAAAATTACACAATTTATTGGCCACCGCACGCGCGCGCACACACATATACACGTACGCACGCACGAGCGCAATTATTCAGAGCTCGCGGAGGGTTCGGTTGGTCTCTTCGTCCTGGAAAGAAAGAGAGAAAGAGAGACAGAAAGAAAGAAAGAAAGAGAGGTCCATTATCAGGCTCCTTGAAAGAAACAGTAGAGTGTCGCGTCTACTGTAACAAAACAGGGTGTAACAAATCACACACAAAACCAGCGGCCCGTTCCGCCTCTCCACGCGCTCACAGCGCCGCTCGTGATGAGCAAATATTCGCCTCCGAGCGGCGGCCAAACAATGAACAGGGTAGTAATCAACCTCCAACTGCCCAGTGGGCGCAAAACAGTGGGCTAAACTCATGCGCGCACACCTGGACACGGCACGACGCCGACCGTGGAGAGCCTGTTAACGCGTCACACAAACCCACTGAGGCTTTTCATCGCTGTTGTGTAGACAGTTAAATCACGCCTGAGTGTCCAGTTGTACAACACGGTGCGCTTATGACGTAAACAAAACGTCGCAAAGTGCGCAAAGTTTAAGCAAACAATGCGCTTGCGCACGGCTCAGTGCGCAAAAACGCCCCGTGAAACAAATACGGACAATAACACAGCAAAATAGAGGCCCGTTAAAGCCGCGCTGGCTATTTGTCCATAAGCGACGAAATATAAACAAATACATACATACATTATTCAACAATGGGTCCTAAGGTTCTTTAGCCCGATGCCATAGAACCTTTGGAACCATGTTTTGAACGCTTTAAGCTTTACAGAAGAACTTAAGTTTTAAGGTAGACTCCTTCAAACTTTAAAAAAGTTTAAGTTCATACACCTCATTTACGAAAAATGGTTCTCTAATGTTCTAGACAAGTTCCAGAAGGAACCATTAAATTACAGTTACAATAAAAGTACAGAAACAAACAAAAATACATTTTTATTTTTATTACTTTTATTTTTTTTTATAAAAGAAGGGTCCGATGGTTCCTTAGATGCCATGCAATCTTACAAAAAGATGGTTCTTCTTGGGTTCTTTAGGGGGTTCTTTCTTCAGATTGTTAGAGAATGTGTTCTATATGGAACCTCGTTGAAAATGGTTCTATATAGCACCATGAAAAAGAGTTACAAGATTGTAGCAATAGCAGAACCCTTTGCGGTGCTTTAGAACCATTTCCAAAAAGGTTCCATGTAGAACCATATATACATTCTCCATCAATGTGAGGAACCATTTAGGCATGCAAAAGGTTAGAGCCACTGTCTTTACTAAAGAACCACTAAGAGTGTAGAGCCGCTTTGGGTTCCCGAAAGAACCACGTGTTTGAGCACTTTAAGGTTTAAAGAACTAAAGGTGGTTCTACTGATGGTTCTCTGAGGAGATACAGAGCATGTTTTGAACCGTGTTAAACCATAAAGTGATTTAAACGTTAAAATGTTTGCGTTTTTAGACCAAATTCGCAATAAATACATAATTTCATAATAATATGATCATCAGAAACGCAATATTAGTAATATTTTTCGCTCATATCTCTAATAGTAACAGTGCTTAAGTGTCCGCGCGCTTCTCTATCCCTGTCTCTCTGCCTCGCGCTGTAAACTCGTCGCGCTGCTCTCTACAGGATCTTGTTTGTTCAGTGGCTGAGCGGCACGCGCCCGGCGGTGCGCAGCGTTGAATGGAGCTGTGCGCGTGGGGGCGTGGCCAAGGAGGGGGGGGCGCTTGAGAGGGGAGGGCTGCCGGGCGTAGAAAAGGGCGCGCGCTCCGAGCTGCTGGAGCAGTCTGGCACACTGGAGCGCGCGACACACGGAGAGCGCGTAGAGCCGCGCGCGAACGCCACGAGCACGACGCCCTCCGGAGAGAAACAAGCAGAAGAGAAGGACGCTACTCTTGTTGTTATTGATTTCGCTGTTGTCGCCGCACCGCGCGCCCTCTTGACGTTCCTCGCGCGATGGACGTGACGGCGACGATGGAAATAAGCGCGAGCCAGCAGCAGCATCACCAACACCACCATCACCCTCCTCCTGCTCATCAGCAGCAGCTCGCGCCGCCCGCGTGCTTCTTTGCCGTGCAGGCGGGCACGAGCGGTGCGCCCGCGGCGACGGCTGGTGCCCACGCCAAGCGGGCGCGCGCCTCCTCGCCCGAGCTGCTGCGCTGCAAGCGGCGCCTGAGCTTCGCGGGCTTCGGCTACAGCCCGCCGCAGCAGCAGCCGCACGCCGTGGCGCGGCGCAACGAGCGCGAGCGCAACCGAGTCAAGCTGGTGAACAGCGGCTTTGCCACGCTGCGCGAGCACGTGCCGCACGGCGCCGCCAACAAGAAGATGAGCAAGGTGGAGACGCTGCGCTCGGCCGTCGAGTACATCCGCGCGCTGCAGCAGCTGCTCGACGAGCACGACGCCGTCAGCGCGGCTTTCCGCTCGGGCGCGCTGGCGCACGGCCACGCCGCCGACCTCAACTCCATGGCCGGCTCGCCGGTGTCCTCCTACTCGTCGGACGAGGGCTCGTGCGACCCGCTCAGCCCCGAGGAGCAGGAGCTCTTGGACTTCGCCAGCTGGTTCTGAGCGCGCGCGCGCACGTTTTCTTCTCCTTTGGCTGGTGTTCTCGGCTGCTGCGCGCCAGAGACCCCCATCCTCCCCGGGACGTCCTGTCTCCAGCCCCCCTCTCTCTTCCAGAGGGATGACGCAGAGCATTGCGCTCGCGCCCCCGTCCCGGAGAGAGGCCCTCGGGAGGGCCAGGACCGCACGCGGAGGGGCCACAGGACTCATAGCGAGGCCCCAAAACGCCCATTCAAGAGACTCTTTCTTATGGCACCCCGACCCAAACAGCGCTCACAAATGGCCGAAGGGTGGTCCACACTGACCCCGCCCCCCCAACACAAGCTTCCAGCCCGGAGCAATTTAATTATATGAAGCTCTATTTGTATAAAAAAGAAAGCAAAACAAGTTTTTTGTAAAGGTATATTAAGCTATTTTTGTATGTAAGAGATTTATAGATGTTTTGTACACATTCATTTTAATATGTATATATATTTTTGACGTATGCATAGCCTGAACACCTTAAGTTGCTTTTATTATTACCTCCTACCTGATTACCTGATTACCTGCTCTGAATGCAGCACAACTGGCTGTTGATGGTGGAGTTTGACACTCCTGAGGTTTGTTTGTTTGTTCGTTTTTTTTAAAAAATTTCAGCACCAACGTGTCTTATAATGAAGTGGGAACTGCATTGTAATCTGTTCAGCTCTGCCTTTTCCAATATTGGTGGGGAGGGAGGAGGGAGGGGTGGGGGGTTGAGGGGGGGGGTCCTCAGAATGCCTTACGTCCATATTTTTGTACACTTTAGATCTCAGAATAAAATGTTTCTAAAATATCCCGAGCTCGTGGTGTGGTGTTTGGAGAGGATGTGTTGATCAGTTTGCACTGATTATTATTATTACTATTATTATTATTATTATTATTATTGTTATTTAAATATTTAAAAAAAAAAACCAACGATTTAAACAAAATGAAAAGGAACTCTTGGAATTTGGCTTTTTTTTACAGACAAAGTGCTATAAATGCTAATGGGGGGCTCCCTCGGCAGCCTGCCTGTTGTCAGGCCCCGCGAGACGTGACCAGCATCCAGGAGAGAGAGAGATAGAGAGGGAGAGAGCCCTCCCAATGTAGGACAGAGATAAAAGCAGAGGCATATTCCTGTTTAAAAAAAAAGAAAGAAAAAGAAAAAGAAAGAAAAGGGACTTTTGTTCCTACAGTGAGTGATTGAGAGAGAGAGAGAGAGAGAGAGAGAGAGAGAGTTGAATAGCACCGTTTATATAAGTATTAAACTGATCTTAACTAACGCCGCGTTCACAACAAAAACGGAGGCAAAAAAACAACGATTCGCGAATTATCGATTAAAATTTGTATTCAAATGCGATTAACTGCTAAATTTTCTGGAAAACAGACTGGAAATAAACTCTGCTCATGTCCAAAAGGAAAAAAAGGAAAGATCCATAGTTTAAGCACACTAATATTTAGGTACTGATGACGAAAGTATAGTCAATTTTACAAAATTCGGTTTCAAAAGCGAAATTTCAAAACTGAAATTCTGATTTGAAGTAAGGCTTGAATTTTGTTGTTAAAACTTCACAGTTACGCTAATTTTGGGACTTTTTATTCTAAGTTTCCCCAAAACTTTTTGCTGTTCAATCAAGTCACACAATAACCTTTGCTTTTGCTCTTCACTTAATGTAGAATTTCTTTTTAACACGCCCCATTTTTAAGACAAATTTAGGTAAAATTAGTTTTTTTTTTTTCAATGAACCAAAAAAACAAACAGTTCCCAAACTCAGCGCGCTCTTCTCTCCATAAACAATAGCGGCGCTTTATGAGCAGCCCGAGTGTTTGTCAGGTAAAGTCTCTCTCGCGCGCGTGCCCACGGGCGCGTGCTGCCCCCTTTGATGTTTGATGGCGCGGGAGCGTGCGGCGCTCGAGCGCAGCTCAAAGCGCCGCGTGCCTTTCTGACAGCAGTGGCGCGCGCCACAGCCACTCAACCGCTTTATGGCCCCTTTAGCGAAAAGGACACGCGGCGAGCGCGCGCTCTGCACGGGAGGCAGGTGGTGGAAGACGCACGCACGCACACACGCTCGCGCGTGCAGGTAGGAGGAAGGGCTTTCGCTGCCCTTTCAGGACACGACACGCTCGAGAGTTGCTCAAAAGCTCACAAAGCTGCGGAGAGACACTTAGAAACATGGTTCTCCAAGCGTTCTTGAGTAAAGGCAATGGTTCTGTTCGGAACCATGAGTTACACAAAGAACTGTTTTATGCTTAAAAAAGATGGTTGTTCAATGGTTCTTTAGTAAAGGTTCTATTTAGAACTGTGGACTCTATATAGAACTGTTTTATGTTTAAATGATTCTTTGCATGGTGAAATGGTTCCTCAGATTGATGGAGAATGGTATTGTATATGGTTCTATTTAGCACCAAAGGGGTTCTGATATTCTCTCGAGCTTGTAAAAGTAGCAGAACCCTGTACAACATATTCTCTCCATCAGTCTGAGGAACCATTTCACCATGCAAAGAACCATTTAAACATGAAACAGTTCTATATATAGTCCACAGTTCTAAATAGAACCATCCCCTTTACTGAAGAACCATTGAACAATCATCTTTTTTTAAGAGTGTAGAACTAATACAGCGTCACTGTATTAAAATGACATAAAAAGTGATGCATTGTTTTTTTCTCTCTGTACATAAATCTGTCCATCATTTCCACGTGAATAAAATAGTAGTAATCAATAGTCAATCAATAGCAATCAATACATCAAAACAACCAGTCAAGTCAAGTCAAGTCAAATTTATTTGTAAAGCGCTTTTTACAACTGATGTTGTCACAAAGCAGCTTCACAGAAATCCATTAAGGACAAAGTTTTAACATGAAATGTAAATCCTCCAGGTGAGCGAGCCAGGGGCGACAGTGGCCAGGAAAAACTGCCTCAGAGCTGGGGAAGAAACCTTGGGAGGAACCAAGGCTCACAAGGGGGGACCCATCCTCCTCTGGTCAAACTACCTACAAAATTATTATACTACTAATATTAATAGCAGTAGTAGTAGCAGTAGTCAACTACTGCTGAAAGTAAACTGAAAGACAAAACTGTGTTGATGCAGCATGTTTTAGTCATTCATGAGGAAATGATGTATTTGAATCGAGTAAATTAAAGGCCTCAACTTTAGCAGGGCACTGTAAAACTCACTGCACATCTTAATGAAAGATTTAAATTAACACAACTTAAATACTGCAGAAATTTGGAGTAACTTAATCTGAAAATATCAAATCAACTCAAAAATGAATTATTGATATGGCAACATCTTCTTGAGTAAGATTCCTCTTTCAGCACATTTTGAGTTGAGGTCATTTAAATGTATTATATTCACTATTTGTATTTAGTTTAACAAGCTTCAGTGAGTCCAGAACGCTGCAGCCAGAGTTCTCAGCAAAACCAGGAAACTTGACCACATTAGCCCAATTCTGTGTACCTTACATTGGTTGCCAGTTAAATTCCGCATTGAGTACAAAATTCTTCTACTGATGTATAAAGCTCTGAACGGCCTTGCTCCTCAGTACCTCAGTGACCTTATTTCCTATTATCAACCGACACGCCCACTTAGATCACAAGGTGCTGCTCATTATTAGTACCCAGAATAAATAACGTTACATCAGGGGGAGGAGCCTTTTCATACAACGCCCCCCAGCTTTGGAACAGCCTACCAGTCTGTGTTCAGGACTCAGACACAGCCTGTATCTTTAAGTCTAGGCTAAAAACGTACCTGTTTAGTCGAGCCTTTGGTTAATTAGTTTTCCTAACTATGTCCCTCTTATCCCCCCCTTCCCCCTACCCCCCCCCCTTTCCCTGAGCTGAGCGACTGCCTGTCCTAAGAGGGTCTGATGTGAGATGCGGCCGGCGCTCTGCACAGTGGTGTTAAACTGTATCCACTTATACTGCTTTGTGTCTGTGCTGTTATCCGGTGTCGACCAGAGGAGGATGGGTTCCCCTTTTGAGTCTGGTTCCTCTCGAGGTCTCTTCCTCCTGTTGAGGGAATTTTTCCTTGCCACTGTCGCCAAGGCTTGCTCACTGGGGGACCCGGATTCTCTGCAAAGCTGCTTTGTGACAACATCCGTTGTAAAAGGTGCTATATAAATAAATTTGACTTGACTTGACTTGATAATGGGTTGTTTTAAAACTCAGTGTGGCGTAATATGATAGACGGCATAAATATTTACATTTAAATGATTTGGGCTTTCGTGCTTTTTTCATAACTTTATTTTGATGATTTCAGATTGCAATAAGTTTTATCAACTCAAAGATCCCGTTTGATGGATAAACTTACTGCAGTTTAGTTTAGACTCTCAGCCTTACTTGATCAATGTTTGGTCAATGCAGCCTTCTTGAGTAAAACTCAATCATTCCTATTGGCTCTTAGTATCATATATTTACATACTGGGTTTGTCTCTTTACCATCTGTGTGTTGTCATTTCCCCCCCAGCCTACCTTCCTTTGTGTCCACTAGATTTATAAATGTTTGTGATTCATACCAGTCGGTACTGTTTGAAAGTCAGTGTTACTAAGTTCCTCTCTGCTGAGTGGCTCTGCTGTGGCTAAATGCTGCGGAGACTACATCTGTACTCTGGACTGTACTGTCAGCATTTGGTGAGGTGGTCTGTAGTGACATTAAGGTGGACAAGACATTGTAACAAATGTCTGTGATCATATCTCTGCAATATAATATGAAATTGTCAAAATGACAGCCTATTGGTGAATTTAATTTACAATACTTAATTATATTGAGTTAGGACAACTTAAACATACGTCCCAAATACTCAGTTGTTTTAATACCAACAAAACAAATGAAATTTGTACAATTTACTCAATTTACTGAAGCGTAAATGAGTTACTGAACTTAAAACATTTGAGATAATCACTTTCCTCAAATCATTTGAGTTGACTTAACTCGTCGGGTTTTACTGTGTGCACAATGTCAACTTTAAGAAAAACAGCTCACACAGACAGGACATAGAAGTTATT